CTATTTAAGAGACTGAGCTGAATACAGCACCTCAGACTGAGGAAGTCCTCAGGATGAGAGACAAAACGTTTCTATATTTTTTTTGTTGTTTTGTTTTTTTGAATGTCCAGAGGACCAGATTGAACTTTTTTGGATTTTTCTACCTGGATTATTGAGCATGCATCAGGATAATTATGTTTTAGATTCAGTCAAGTGTGTAAGTCTGATGATACTTGGAAAGAAGGAGCTCTTGAATCTGGAATCCCCGCATTTCACATTTCAGTACCTCCGGCTTAACATTAGACATGCAAACAATCCATTATTATGAGCACAGACAGTAAGGTTAGGTAATGGGTTAAAATATTTCATTAGCCATCTTCAGCCCAACTACTGGCATTGGCAATTTATGTATGTGACTACAGGCAATTTTTGATTTATTTAGAAGTGTCAGCTGGAGAATCTCTGTTCTCCAAACAACTGTGAAAGAAAGTTTGTTGTTAAAAAGAAAGCAAAGTCACCGATTCTTTTGGTTTTAAAACAAAGAGTTCCTCCAAACTTTTGACAGGAACAAAACAGATCTGAGCAGCCAGCGCTCGGCTGAAATTAGCACAGAACAGACACATGGTTAACATCTAACATGTTCTTATACACTGCCTGGCCAAAAAAAAAAGGAGCCACTAAGCAAATAGGTACGAGCCTCCTATTGGATAATTACTGTATGGGCGAATATCTTTTAGCTGGTAACAAGTTCTTTAACCCCAACTGGTGCAATGAGTTGCTTCTCATTTCTTAAACAACATGATGAAAGACTCGTGGTGTGGTCGTGGAAAAGATGTCAGTCTGTTTGAGAAGGGTCAAATCATTGGCATCAAGCAGAGGAAACATCTAAGGAGATTGTAGAAACTACTGAAATTGGGTTAAGAACTGTCCAACTGGAAGGACAGTGGGGACCCATCGTCTTCCAGGAAGAAATGTGTTGGGGAAAAAATCCTGAATGATGGTGATCGGTGATCAATTAAACGTTTGGTGAAATCAAATGGAAGAAAAACACCAGCAGCACTCAGGGCTGTGGTTGGGATGTGTTGGAGAAGGCTTTGTGCAGTGATCAGAATCTGACATCATCAATGCAAGATCTTGGTGAAAAATTAATGCAACACTGGATGGAAATAGATCTTGTGACACTGTAAAAGTTGATTGAAACAATGACACAGAGAATGAACGACGTAATCAAAGATAAAGGTGGTCCAACGAAATATTAGTGTGACCTTTATATTTTGGTGGCAACTTTTTTTTTGGCCAGGCAGTGTATCTGTCAATATATCTGGAGAGAACATGCAGTAAACTCTTCAAACTGCACCATTTGATACAGTACTAGGCCTGTCATGATAACACATTTTGCTGGGCGATTAATTGTCTCAGAAAATATTGCGATAAACAATAATCGTGTTTGAAATTTGACAATAATTAGTAATTGTCAAATTTAAGAAGAAATATTGGTTAATTTTGTGTACAGTACCTTTTTTGACCACTGGATGGCAGTATAAGACTGTTTGAACTGAAGGATGGATAGTGAGGGAGCGCGCAGTGTGTCTCTAAGAAAAATAGGGGGAGGCCCACGTGACATGGGCCGTCTCTCATTCCTGTTTTTCGGTTCTCAAAATGGCGGACGCTCGGTGTGGTTTGAACTCTTTAGCATAGCATTTGTCACACAAAGCTTTTAATTAAAAAAAAATAAAAATCAGTAAACAACTTTTCAGCTTCTTTTTGCAGACCAAGTCCTTCTCCCACTCCGTATGGAAATGGTGCATTTTTTTGCTTCTTACTTGGTCCAGCTCCCCCACTCATTTTACACACTTTGAGTTTAGTTTAGAAGAAATCAACTGAAGGCTACTATTAGGCAACTTGTTTGTTTTTAGCACGGCTGTATGACCAGTGTGTCAGAAAAAGTCAGTCTCAGATTGGCTAACCTGAATGTCATCAAGTGACAAATTGCATAGTGAAGATGGATTGACAGGCTGACATCTTTTTAGAAAATAAAAATTAAATAGAAATTTAAAAAAAGTCTGATGTCTATTTTGACATGTGATCTACTCAAACTGCCTTTGCGATCGACGGTAGATCACAATCAACGCACTGGGCACCCCTCCCTGATCTAGCCCCTTTGCTACAAAGCAAAGAGGCCCATAAATTTCAGCAAAAGAAACTACTGGGTTGTCTGCCATGTCTCTCCCCCACTGCTCAGTTTGGAGTTTGGACGTGCGACCAGCTCTTAAATTATAATAAGTAAATGTAGGAACTATTCAAACTAGGTTTAAGAAAACTCTAGTCATAGGGTCCTAGATTTGACCTTGGTGACAGCAGCAGCCAACACCCAGTTAGTCAGGCAGCTGATAGTAAGGCAAGCATGTACTTGTGTGCAGCGTGACTGGAGTTGTAGATGGAGCTGCTGTTATTGAAAAGACACGAAGATATAAAAGAAATTGTATATGAATAATCTCGTATTGATTTATTTTACCACCAGTTGCTTGTCTGAATTTATTTTCTCCAATTACAAATTTCATTCACTTTTTTAAACAACTTTGTTCAATGTTGCCATTTTGAGAGGCACTTTGTTTAAAGTTCCTCCGATTAAAAAACAGCCTCACGCAGTTCAAAGTACACAGAAAATATTAACGTCACTCTTGAACAACTCATTTGCACATATGTCATACACAGCACTGGCCACAGATATCCACCCTTTCTTCCCCACAGCTGTGATTGACATGCTTCAATCAAACCAAAATGTATCATTTCATACAATTACTGTATTTCAGTCAAAACCATTGCTGAACTGTCAGGATGCTCTGTTCTGTCTCTGCACCCACCTTCCAGGGAAGTTCTCTTACGAAGAGAGAGTCTTTCCAAGCGGCGGTGCGTTTCAGCCAGACTGAAGAGGACGCCGTATGCATACTGCCTGGCAGCACGAAACAGCAGAGAGGCAGGAGGCAGCTCAGAGTTACACTCGTCCTCTATACACACCGGCATCTTCATCTCTCCCTGGGGGACAAGGACGAGCACAGAAAAAATTTAAAACAACAGGCAGACATTTTGCTCCAATTTGGAGAGATGATGTGTATTCCACTTTGGATGGAGCAGCTGTCATCTCTAGGAATCTGCACAGATTTTAAAGTTGTTTTTAGACACTGGCCAGTTATCAGTTTCAAGGTGTACCATGGTGCTAAAGGCACAGTGTCAAAACAGACAAATTTGATCCATGCTGCATGGACTGTTTATTTAAAATGTTACACTATTTAAATTTATATAGCCTATATATTAAATTTCGATCGGTGCATCTGGACAGCAAAGGGTTAACCCTTCACAAAGCTGCAGCAGGAGAAATGTGTGTGTGGCAGAGAAGGAGATCATGACAGGCTGCAGGAAGGAGCTTCCCCCTGTACGTGTGGTCTTCACAAAGGTGCAGAATCATTTAAAATAATTTATTTTAAATAAACAACCCATGGCTCATCCATCAATCTGCCAATGTCCAATCTTACTTTGAAAAACCGCGACAAATGAACCGAGAAGCAGCGAGGGACTACTGTAATACAATACAACTTCATTTATAAAGCACTTTAACAACAACACCGTTGGTGTTTATCCAGAAGATGAGCAAAGCACAGCCTGTCTACCAAACAAGTGACAGCAGTCTGTCCTTTCAAGGTTTTGAAACAAATTTTTGCAACAAGCTACAGGTGGTATAAAGAAATAAATAATCAAGCCTACTACACCAAAGTCTGTTTTTTTTTCTCCGAGACGTGAGAAACATCTCGACACAAAAGAAGAAAGAAATCATTCAGATGACCTGACTGAACATTGTTGGGTACCTAGCTTACTGCAGGTTCACAATCGAGGCTAAGAACAAGCTAAATAATTACACACACCTGCCGGGCTCTAAACGTTACTTTACAAAGCAGAACAGCAAAGAAGTCAAACGGATACAGTTACTTCAGAATAATTTATATACTATAAACAGAAAAACTGTTTGTTGTGCTGGTGTTTTAGTTGACACTACATTAAATCACATCCATCCACTTTCTCTATCTGCACTTCCTTACAAGGTCATGGAGAGCTGACGCCTACCTCCAGCAGTTATTCTGCAGGAGGCCGGGGTCCACCAGGGTCCACAGTCAAATGAGACAAATAATTTACACTCACCCTCACCTACACACATTTACAAAGTCCAGCCATGACTGGCATAAATTACTATTGGCTAGCCCTCACCCCAGTAGTCATGAAACGCTTTGAGAGTCTGGACATGGCCAGTGTGAAGAGCAAGATCATCATGGATGTGGACCCAAAGCAGTATGCTTACAGGAAGAACTGCTGTTCATCCCATGCAGTGTAATCAGTTGTCCATTCTACTCCTCTAGAGAGCAGGGACTCACGTCAGGCTACTCTTACTGGAATTCACTTCTGGTTTTAACACCATCGTTCCACACACTTCAGCCAACAAACTCCGGCTGCTCGGACTGATGTCTTCGCTCTACAATGGGGTGCTGGACTTTTGGACACATTGGCCTCAGCGTGACCTATAGAACTACATCTTCCTCCATTCTTCTTAACACTGGCTCTCTACAGGGATGTGTCCTCAGCCCCCTCCTGAACACACCTTTCACATTCCACTGTCCAGTTAAACAGCCACACAAATGTATTATGAAGTGTGGAGATGACAGTTGTTGTGGGACTGATATACCACGATTATGAGCCATCCTACCAGAGGGAGGTCGAGGACATTGTGGACTGGTGTGGGCTGCACAACCTCCACCTTAATGTAGGGAAGATGAAGGAGATGGTGGTGGACTTCAGGAGGAGGAGACACACCCACTCTCCACTGGTCATTGGAGGCACAGCTGTGGAAATGGTCCACAGCTTTAAATATCCAGGAGTCCACACTTACAGGGACCTGACACGGACTGATAACACTCGGAACAACATAAAGAAGGCCCACCAATGTCTGTACTTCTGCAGGAAGCTGAGAAAGGCAGGTCTCAACTCCTCAGTGTTGGCAACATTCAGTCAGTGTGTGGTGGAGAGCACACTCACAGTATCTCTCACCGTCTGGTACAGAAACTGTTCCGCTCAACATGAGGAGCTACAGAGACAGGCAAAAGACACCCAGAGGACCACTCACTACAGCTTCCCTTCTCTGGAGGACATATACACAAGGAGGAGCAGGGCAGCGCACATTTTGAAGGACCCCACCCACTCTGCCCATGACCCTCTCCCCATGGGCAGAAGGCTGAGGGGCATTAGAGCCAGAAGAGAGAACAGCTTCTACCCTGAGGCAGTTGGACCGGTCCATTCCGTCTGCATTATCAGCAGTTTAAAAACAAATCGCTAATATTGTTTTTCTTGAAAACAAACTAAAAGTACTTTTTGTCATTGAGATTCACATTTAATGCTTTTTAATGCCATTTAAGGCCTTAAATTTGGCTAAATCCATGTAATGACTTTTGATGCTTTTTAATGCCTTGCAAAACCCTTTTAAAAATATGATGTGTGAGGATCAAAGGATTTTAAACCACATATACTTCAGATCGAAGGCTAATCAAATCAAGTTGCTCCTGAACAAACATGTTTTCTGTTAAGAGTAAAGTAGTTTCTCGTCACTGGTCATTAAGTCTTGGATGCATGAAATTAAGTTTCCTGACAAATTTGTTTGCAGCATTGCACATTGCCCGTAGACGTCACTGCAACTAAAGATAAAAAAATGAACCAAGTTTTGAATAAATTGGCCCAAGTGGTCCAGTGCGTCATAAAAGCATGTGCTTATGACTAATTGACACTATTTTTTTCTATTGTGTGATTGTTAGTCTTTGTTGTCCTGGTCCGCATGCAAAATGATTTGTCATAAACACAAAGCTGCACATTTAAATTGAGAAAGCTCCTTAAATAAGGAAAATGTGTGAATAAATCACAGACAAGTTAAGCTGCCTTTGACTGACCCTACTAGGTTTAACAAGGTCGTTAGAGCTGGACGATACGGCCAAAACTTTTATCACGATACACTTCTTAATCTTGCTCGATAACGACATAACTCAATAACGATATAATTCAACAACGACATAATTCAACAACGATATAATTCAACAACGACATAACTCAATAACGATATAATTCAATAACGACATAATTCAACAACGACATAATTCAACAACGACATAATTCAATAACGATATAATTCAATAACGATATAATTCAATAACGACATAATTCAACAACGATATAATTCAACAACGACATAATTCAACAACGATATAATTCAACAACGACATAACTCAATAACGATATAATTCAATAACGACATAATTCAACAACGACATAATTCAACAACGACATAATTCAACAACGACATAATTCAATAACGATATAATTCAATAACGATATAATTCAACAACGACATAATTCAACAACGATATAATTCAACAACGACATAATTCAACAACGACATAATTCAATAACGACATAATTCAATAACGATATAATTCAATAACGATATAATTCAACAACGACATAATTCAATAACGATATAATTCAATAACGACATAATTCA